TAGTATCAGTACAACCGACCCCATGTACTAGTAAGTGCTGAGCCTAACCTCGATAAAGTAGTGACGAGGCTAAGGCGGGTCACTTACATTTACCTGTACGCAATATTAGTTACAACAACAATAATAGAAATAGTTCAGGTAACTCATTCATAATAATTGAAGTCAACTCAGCAGTCATAACCAATTATCATTTCCATCAATTCTGTTGCAGCATGCAACCCGCTCTCACAATATATTCACATTCAATTCTGTTGCAGCGTGCAACCCGTTCTCACAATATATGCACATTCGGTTCTATTGCAGCGTGCAACCCACTCTCACAATATATTCACATTCGGTTCTGTTGCGGCGTGCAACCCGCTCCTCCAATATATTCATTTTAATCAAGTCTGTTGCGGCGTGCAACCCGATCCATCAATATATATATATGTATGTCGACTTTTTAATTAGTCTATTGCGGCGTGCAACCCGATCCTCCAATATATTCATTATAATCAATCTTGTTGCGGCGTGTAACCCGCAACTCCAACATATTCATTTACCAATTCTTATAGGAGAAAATTTCACAATAAATGTAACAATTAATATAAAATTATAAGACAACAAGCATACAATGCTTATGATTTAATTATGAAACAAACAATGATAAATAGCAAATTATTATGGAAATCAGGGAGAAAATAGGCAGTTTAATATTTAATATGCTAAATATCAAATAACAATTAAAACACATAATTCAAATAATATGTAACAATTAATGCGTGATTTCAAAAATTAATGTTTGACAAAGAATAGGAGAGAAATAATTATTATAATAATTAATTTATGATTTAAAATAATTCATGAATTTTCAAGTAAGCAGGCAAACAATTAGTTTTACGACGTATAGACACTCGTCACCTCGCCTATACGTCGTTCACATGCAATTTAGATAACAAATAATTTAAGGGCTCTATTCTCTCAAGTCAAGGTTAACCACGACACTTACCTCGCTTTGCAAATTCCAATTAATTATTCAACCACAACTTTTCCTTTTAAATTTGTCTCTGAAAGCTTCAAATCTATTCACAAACAATTCAATATACTCAATATGAATAATAGGAGTTAATTCCATATGAATATACTAATTTTCCGGATAAAGATTCAAAATTCATTAAAATATTTGACAGTGGGACCCACGTCCCAAATCTCGAAAAAGCTTACGAAATTCGAACACCCATTCCGAGACGAGTCCAACCATACAGAAATTATCCAATTCCGATGTCAAATGGACATTCAAATCTTAAATTTTCGTTTTTGGAAGATTTTAGAAAAAAACTATTTTTTCCATAAATTCACGGATTCATGATATAAATGAGTATGAAATCATGAAATATAATCAATATAGGATAAGGAATACTTACCCCAATATTTTTCCGTGAAAATCGCCCACAATCGCCTCTTGAGGGTTTTAGGTTTGAAGATTTGGGAAATGAATCAAAAATTCCGCCCAAAAGTCATTTTGTTCAGCTGCAGGTGTCGCAATTGCGACCTGAGCTTCGCAAATGCGAAGAAACACTCGCAATTGCGATGCCCTTCACAATCCCGTTGCCTTCGCAAATGCGAAGATTATGTCGCATTTGCGACAATTGGCTCTTCGCAATTGCGAGAACCGCTGGCCTAGGCTTTCTTCGCAATTGCGATAAAAATCTCGCAATTGCCATACCTGCTTGGTTCGCATTTGCGAGATCAGAGGCCTGCAACAGGTTTAGTTATACCAACAAAATTTTCTAAGTTCAAAATATCCCATGGCCTATCCGAAACTCACCCGAGCCCCTCAGAACCTTATCCAAATATTTTAACAAGTCCCGTAACATCATACGGACTTACTCGGGGTCTCAAATCACATCAAACTACATCAAAATTGCAATTCACACCTCGATTCGGACTTTGAGTTTTTAAACTTTTCAATTTGCAAATCTCGTGCCAAAACATATTAAATGAATCCGGAATGACTTCAAATTTGGCACACAAGTCATAAATGACATAACGGAGCTGTTCAAATTTCCAGAATCGGATTCCGGCTCCGATATCAAAAAGTCAACCCCGTGGTCAAACTTAGAATATTTTGCCTTTAAATTGCTAGTTCCGTTAAATGGTCATAATTTGAGTTAGGGACCTTCAAATTAAATTTCGGGCTTACGCCCAAGTCCCAAATCACGATACGGAGCTATCGGAACTGTCAAAATACTGATCCGGGTTCGTTTGCTAAAAATGTTGACCAAAGTCAAGTCAGTTGAGTTTTAAAGCTCTATTTCAAATTTTAATCCATTTTTCACTTAAAAACTTTCCGAAAAATTGTACGGACTGCGCACGCAAGTCGAGAAATGATAAATGGTACTTTTTGAGGTCTTAGAACACAGAGTTTCTTATTAAATTTAAACATGATATTTTGGGTCATCACATATTTGTCGGCAAAATTGGTGCTTTCTTTGAAATATTTGCTGCTTTTATGCAGCGCTTTCATATGTTCGTATGATATCTAGTTTGGAGTGCTTGGGGGAAGGTAAAGATGTTTTTTTTGTAAGTAAATTATTTTGTTTTTGATAAAGCATTAAGTTAATTTTGTTTGGTTTTCCATCTTGCTTTAAAGTAAGAAATTTATTGTCTACCTCTAATTAGAGTAATGAATGTTGTCAGGTTTTTTATCTAAAGATACTCAAATGGTTGATTGTTGGCTCACACGTCTATTCCAATGTAAAGATTAATCATTGGTATCAATTTATTGGTAGGAGGAATGTGAAAATGAGGTAATTCTGACACTGATTTTAAATATGATACAAATTGCATTTGGCAAGCTGAAGAACAAAGAGTTTTGCTTGATAGTGGAGTTTGGATGAAACAGGCTATGCATGTATCTTTAGTTTTGCCTCTATTTAGTCTCGTTCTAAAAAAGCTCAGTATATTTTTAAGTTTTCTTTTGTATTTTTTGTTTACTTATATACGATACATTAAGTACGTCTCACTCAAATGAGTTCTGTTTCTCGTAGGGTTCCATTTAGATGTGTGCTGGTTATGGAGCTCAATTTAGATGTATGCTAGTTTTGGAGCTCCATGTTTATTTCTTGTAAAATAAACTTCTGCTGAGTGATTAAAGTGTTGCTCCTTAACGGTGGTTGCTAAGGTTAGGATTGATAATTCCAATATCACCAAATTCAATACTCCACCAAACTTTTACCGACTTGTTTAACATTTCAGACTTGTTGTGTATCTTTGTGTCAAATTCATGAAAATATTGTTATTCTCCTTGATTTCTTTTAAGCCAAATAGTATGTAATTGATTGTTGCAGTCTTTGTAAGTTAGTTTTATTTGTTATATTTTCTAGATTAGGAGATATATACTTTACTTAGAAAAATAAGTATTGGACCATAATAACATACTACTTAAGCGAATAGCTGTTATCTTTGATTAAATCCTACTGCATAGTTTATAGAGTTGTCCAATATCCTTTCTGTCCTCTTCCAGGGAATTTATTACTTAAAGTTGGAATTCTGCAATAATTAGTGGTATTAGCCATCATTGGATCATCACCTCAGACAATCTTTCTCTCTCAATTCAGGAGATTATCAAATGAGTAGGCACTCAAGCGACTTGGGGAGGAAGCTCCTAAAAGAAAGTAGCAGAAGGAGTCACTACAAAAAATTGGATTATTAGTGACGATATATAACAGCGACCCTATAGGTTGCTACAATAAGTTATATTATTAGCAGCGATTTTATAAGTCGCTACGGATGGTTAACGTTTAGCAGAGACTTTTTTTAGGTCATCTCTGATGTGGCTGGAATTTTCCGTCCCGTGTAAAATAAAATTTTGGCTCCATATTTTTAGTGGCGACTTTTGGAAAGTCGCTGGTAAATCTCTATTACTTTTAAAATAATTAAAAAAAGCAAAATACCTATCCTAATTAATTAAAACTTGCCTGCTCTTGGTATGAACGAACATAAGCCCTAACATTCAGCAAAAATTTCAGCCAAATTCTCTCTAGAATCGGCCTACTCTCCTCAGCAAAAATTTCAGCCAAATCAAAATCCCTCAAATCAAAATGTGAATCTCATTTGTCAGGTATGTTCAAATCCCTAATCTTTTTTATTTTTTTGGGGAAAGAAGTTGCTCTTCTTTAATCGATAATTTCATGGAGGAAGAATCAAAGAAACGATTTCTATTCCTAATCAATTTCGTGCATCCTTTCCTTCTTATTTGTTACTATCTCATATCTAACTAAAATCCCATAAAGATTTATGTAAGATATATTTACATTGGGTATTTTTTTTATAATGATTCTCTAAGAATTTTTTTTTAATATGCAGTTAGGGATAATGTTCAAATCTCTAATCTTTTCGTTTATGCTCAAATCCCTAATATTTTTCGTTTTTTTTGGAAAAGATTTCATCTTGAATTTCTGTTCCTAATCTTTTCGTTTATGCTCAAATCCCTAATACAGTTAGGGATAATTATTTTTTCAGCAATTTCACATTTGTATTCTCAGATTTCATCTCGAATTTGTCTGAGCCATTTGATAATCTACAGGAATACAAGAAAAAATCACACAGAAAGAATCATTTGAAGCGTATTTGGTGTTGTTATTGTCGATTCTCGGTCTTGACAGAATCTCCACTATATCTTTTCCTGTGTAAGTTAAAATCTTCTTTTTGAGAGACCTTTTATATGTCGGCATTCCATTCTTATTTTGTTCTTATATGGTTATGTGCCTAAATCAGTAGACATGCAATTTTTAATTTTATAAGGTACACATGTTATTGTATGGTTATTAGAAAACATAATACTTCTTTGCGAATGATGTGGTGAAATTAGGGTCTCTTGTGGTTCTCGAGAGGTCCCTTTCTTTTCATTAAAATAAGTGTGAAGAATAAAAAAAATATAGAAGCAGAATTTCTGGACAATATGATGTTTGATTGAGAGGTGTTCAGTTTACAATCAGAACCCCTCCAAATTCCAAAACTATTGCTTCTTGGTTCTGCTTCTTTCTTAAATATATACATACACTAGTTTTGATTTCTATTTTATTTTCTTCTGCTCAGTAGTTTTTTCTTCTTCACTTGGATGAAGCACAAGAATTTTCTGCTGGATTTTGGAATTTGGGACATCATTATTTCCTGTGTACAAAGTGTCAGCTCAAAGTGTAATTGGATTAATTATTTGTTTCTGTTATGAAAAATAACCGTTCATTAAACTAATAGTTGTTTCAGTTACCTAATGCACAAGGAGTGACCCTTACACAACTATTAGCACATGGATTAATTATTTGTTTCTTATTAAAAGTTTAATTTGTGATGGAGGGAGGCCAAATATGAAATAGGTAGCTTTGGACTATGCTATGTATGAATGATCTTTTACAATATAGGAGATCTTGATTTTTTGTTTATAGTTCTTGCATTAACTGGTCGAAAGCATTTATGTCGCTACAAGGGTGTGGGGTAAGAAATTTGCAAATGCAATGGTGCATATGGGTACCTTGGATATCCTTACAGGGTGGAAGGGCGAGATCAAGAAGAACTGCCATTTTGTGAACTAATTAGTCATGCTTTTGCCTTTTTAGTTTTGTAAAGGTGTCCATTTCAGCTTTCTTGTTATTGTTATTGTGAGTTGGAGACATTCTATTTAAGTGAGTATGGTTCAATCTTTGTTTAATAGTTACAGACGAATCTTCTTAATAGAACTAGTTCTTGATTGAAAGTTTCTTTGTGAAAGAACGAATTACTTTTACTTCTTTTCGCACTTAGAACTACTTCCCTTTTAAACTAGTGTGACAATCTGCGAGAACTTGGAAGTACAAAAATGAACATCTGCAACTGAATTAACATCTGTAGAATCAACAAAAAATAAAAAAAATGAAGCACCTCTTAGGTTCTGCGGATGTTAATTCCACTACAGCTATGAGTTTAAAGCATTTAATCAAAGGGTGTGTAAGAGGAAAATAGCATGGATGAACTGAAATAGATGGATGTTTAGCATCTGTTTATTTTCCTTAGGAAAATAGCATCTGTTTATTTTCCTTGTTAATCCTGGGAACCAGGTTGGCTATTTGGAGAATAAACATCTTGGCCACCATATTAGATGGATGAACTGGAAGTTCGGAATTTAAGGTATTAACTTAATACCTGAAGATTGTCTCTTTGAATGGTGATTTATTAATCTGTTTACTTACAGGTTGTAAGTGAGAGGAACAAAAGAAATAGAGAAAAACAAATAACTAAGCATACTTGTGGTACAAAGTCTTTTGCAGAAGTAGAGGAATTTACGGTAAAAATATATTTAGTCCCCTACTATCACATATGCTTCTTTGTTATTTATATATTTATATATTTGCTTATATATTTTTTCTCCGAAACTATATTGCAGAGAAATTCTATTACTGGAGAATTAGACACACCAGATAAAGTTTGGGAGATCCAATATACACGCAAGAATGATAGAGGCGAACTGGTGTGGTTGGATTCACAGTCCCAACAAATTCATGTAATTATCTAAAAAGACTTATTATATTTCTGTTTCTGTAAGTTTCATTTAATATGTTTTATTATGTTTTGATTTAAATGATTATGCATAAATACAGGGTCAACTCCAGGAAGTTGTCGCTCAGCAACAATCTGAAGAGATCGAGCATCCCATGACTAGAGATGGGATTTTATCCTCTGTTCTTGGTGAGAAAACATGCTATATTCGTGGAAAAGGATACGAAAAGAAGCCTCCTAAAAAGAGTAACATTCAGCAGGCAAACATAGAGGCCAGTGGTCTTCTGCTATTGATATTGTGCGTCAAGAGATGCAAGCCGAGATGGATAGGAAGCTGCAAGAAGAACGTGAACAAATGGCTGCTGAGTTGCGAAGAAATATGGAAATTGAGTTGGAAAGGAAGTTAGCAGAGGAGCGTCAACACGCAAATGCAGAAGTAGACAAGAGGATCTCTCTAGAAGTGGACAAGAAGATGCAGGAACAATTTGCTAGTTTCATGACCAGAATGCAACAACAACAGGTACTTGCTCCGCTCCTTCTTAACAATTCTTCTTCCTTCTCGGCATTTCTTCTTCCTTCCTTCTGTAGTGACTTGTAGTGACTTCATGTTTAGGGGTTTAGTGTTTACTGTTGATTACTTAGTTGAATAAAGTAGTATGCTTATACTACTATTTTACACATGTATATAGTTAAAATATGATAGTAGCATCTATCGCTCATGGTTGGAGGGACTATTTTTATACTGCAATCAGGAAATCTCATGTCGTTTAATGTGTGAGGGGTCAGAAATGGTTGAGGCTATGGTTTAAAGGATCTAAGAGTGATTTTCCCAACTTCTTACTAGTGTTTGTTTTTAGATTCTAATTTGACTTATATATAAATTATCTGAGGATAATGGAAGAAATATTGAAGTAATATATAGAAAAATTATCAAAACCTCAGACCAAAATATGAAAGTCAAATAGTTTAATGAATTTGAATCTTCAGTGTTGTGAAAGTGATAAAAATGGAATGGTGTTAAACATTTTGAGACGTCCCAAAATGTAAAGAGTGCAATATAAAGCTGGATGTATGGATGCTAAGAGACATATTACATATACCTGATATGTGTAAAGGGGGGAAATTATAATTCGAAGATTAGCAAACTCTGAATCCTTTGTTCCATGCATCTGACATCACTTATAGATTCTGGATCTTTGTTGACTTCAAATTTGATGGAAGATCCAAATCGTTAGTTGATTTTTTCATTCTCTTTACATAAACCCCTTTGTTGGAAAATTTGGGAGCTAACTAACTTCTCTTTTTACTTTTACTGCTTTCTTATCTTTGATTGCCTCATAGTAATGTGTTGGTTCTATTTCAACAGAAAAGCTGGCCACATAGCTTTGATATTTACATGTATTCTAATTGTGTATGTGTACATTTGTGTAAAGTTATTTTTGACATGTAAATTATGGCTTGTTGTGGAGTCTGCATCGTAGATTGAATGTGATTGTGAAACCTTGTATGTGAAAGATGAGAAATGACAGAAGCACCATCTGCTACAAACCTGTCTGAAAATAGTGTGGCACTTATGTATGTGGATACAACAAATGAAAAACATCTCTTGCTGCCCTAATAGATTGCAATTTCAGCGGCCTCATCACATCTTTGACGTTTGTAAGCAAACTATATTCGTTAAACCATTACCTGTTGTTGTCGTACTTAACTAGCCCTGAAGTTTCTGTGAGGAAACGTTTTGGAAAGGAAAGATATGGTGACGGCTACAGTCTACTGTGAATATAGAACTATAGTAAATAGACTATTATAGACAATCATTGTAACTAGACTATCATTGTAAATGACCTTATTTGCCTAACTCTGATACTGAGTGAAAAAGTTCAAATATGTGCATTATAGTAGTTGAGATGGTTTGAAGTTCAAATCTTTGTGAACCTGATGATACATCATTGTCTAAGATAATATGACTATTTGAGTAGTAATATTTAGGTTGTAAACCATGCTTACCTGAACCAAGCCATTTCATTTCACAAATGAAATAGCATAAAACAAATTAACTTTGTGTTATACTAATGTATAATTAGCTTGTACTTTAATTTATTCGTCCATGCATGTTTTTGGATATAACAAATCTCATTATGTTCCTTATATATAATACTTTTGTCTAGCAGGGACAAGGCACTTAAACAGTGGTATCGTTCAAGGATGGTGTCGAGCAAGGAGCAGTTACAAGGCACTTAATATTTTATCTTTTTTGGGATATGGATATGCGTACAGTTATAATGCACAATGAAGTGTCGGGTAGTATTGTAACGACCGACCAGTCGTTTTGAGAGTAATAGCCCCGATCCCCTATTTACTGCTTCTACCATATCTTTTTCTGCTATTGTGATTTGCCGGGAGATTTCGTTTTGGTTTTTGGAGTGTTTTGGGACACTTAGTCCCTAAATGGAGGTTTAAGCCTTAGGATTTGGACCGTAGTCGGAACTGTGTGAATACGACTTCGGAATGGAGTTTCATCGGTTCCGTTAGCTTCGTTGGGTGATTTTGGACTCAGGATCATGTTCAGATTGTGTTTTGGAGGTCCATAGCTTATTTAGGCTTGAAATGGCGAAAGTCGAATTTTTGGAGATTTGGACTGGTAGTGAAAATTTTGATATCTGGGTCGGATTCCGATTCCCGAAGTTGGAGTAGGTCTATAGTGTTGAATATGACTTGTGTACAAACTTTGAGGTTATTCGGATATGAATTGATATGTTTCGACGTCGTTTGTAGAATTTAGAAATTTCAAAGTTCATTAGGCTTGAATCCGTGCATAATCCGTGTTTTGATGTTGTTCGACGTGATTTGAAGGCTCGACTAAGTTCGTATGGTATTTTAGGATTGGTTGGTATGTTTGTTTGAGGTCCTCAGGGCCTCAAGCGAGTTTGAGATGCTCAACGGGTCATTTTTGGACTTAGGGAGTCGGCAGAATTTCTGGTGTTATTGCAGACATTTTTCTTCATTGCGTTCACGCGTAGGTCATATGAGAGGTCAGCTAAAATTTCTCTTCGCGTTCGCGAAGATGAAGACGCGATCGTATAAGGTTATCAGGCAGTGCACCGCGAACGCGTGGGCTAGGCTGCGTTCGTGAAGCGGATTGAGGCAGTTGGGGACCCCGAGTCCTTGTTCTACGCGTTCGCGAGGTGGTGGTCGCATTCGAGAAGGTCTGAGCTAGTAACGCATCGCGTTCACGAGGCATGTGTCGCGTTCGCGAAGAGTAAAATGGTGAGGCAGTCAAGTTGTTTTACGCGAACGTGAGAGGACGGTCGCGAAGGGTAAAATCTGGGCAGACAATGTTAAATTCAAATCGAGGGTTTGAGCACATTTTTTATATTTTGAGCTAGAGATCACGGATTTGGGTGATTCTTGAAGGGATTTTCGTGGAGTTGATTGGGGTAAGTGTCCTCACTTGGTTTTGGTTAAATTTCATGATTATATCTTGATTTTTATCATCTAAATTGTGATTTGGGGTGAAAATTTGGGAAAAAAGTGGAAGAGTTCTTGAGATGGAATTTTGAGGTTTTGAAGGGGATTTTGTTGTCGGATTTTGGTAAATTTGGTATGACTAAAATCGTGAGTGAATGGAATTTCAAATTTTGTAATTTTTGTCGGATTTTGAGACGTGGGCCCGGGGCTGAATTTGAGCCAATTTTGGATTTTTGGTCTAAATTGGTAGTTTTTCTTGTGGAATTCATTCCTTTAGTGGCTGTATACGAGTGATTATGAGGTTTGCCTAATGGGCTGTATATGAGTGATGTTGCCCGAGGGGCTGATTATGATTTCATTATTTTTGCTCACCTTTGCATTGAGCCTTTGTTTGAAAACTATTGAAAGATGTCTTTAAATGATTTTACTGGAACTAGATTTAAAAGAGCTGATTTATTCAAACTCTGGTTTTAAAAACATGCTTTATTTTACTGAATTTTTGTGATATGAACTTTACTTGCATTATTGCTCGTCACTACTTCTCAGTCTTTATTTACTGTTGTTACTTATGAGTTTACGTTCTCACTTTACTCCCTGCACCTTGTGTGCAGATCCAGGCGTATCTGGACACGGTAGCGGTTGTTGACTATTCCGGTTGCAGATCTTCTCGGGGATAACAAGGTAGCTGCCTGGCGATCGCAACCCTGCTCTTCTCCCTCTTATCTTCCTTTAGTTGTATTTAGCTATTTTCTAGACTTTGTTAGTTTCGATACTGTCAGATAAATTGTAGTAGATGCTCATGACTAGTGACACCCCGATGTCGGGCTTTTCTTTTCCGCACTTTTATTTTGATTTGAACTCCTTTACGAAGGTTTTTATGTTAAATAGCCTTGAAATTATCTTTTAAATGAAAATATCGGTTTGTTTTGGAAATGAGTCGGCTTGCCTAGTTTCACGATAGGCGCCATCACGACAGGGTTAGTTTGGGTCGTGACAAGTATATATGTAATTGACTCTTTAGTAATGATAGTATTTATAATATTTGGCTTGAGAAATTCTTTTGGTGTTTGTCAAACATTATTGGTTGCTTTAATATTGATAGTCGATTGATATGAATATTTCTATATGAAATTTTAGAGAATTAGGTTCCTACTGGCATGGAAATGTATATAATTTTGGTCGTTATAATTGCTGAGAAAATAAGTTTTAGTGGTGACATAGTTTTGTCAAAAAATTAATAATTGTTGCGATATAAAAGTTGCCACTGTAAGTTTATTTCTTTTGCAGCGACTTTAGTCGCTACAGAAAATATTGTATCTTTCATGGTTAAATATTTTATGGCCACGCCTGTCGCTACTAAAAGACATTTATAGTGGCGACATAATCTTGCCACTGAACATAAATATTTTTGTGGCGATGCTAGTCGCTACTAAAGGTGAATATACAGTGGCGACCCATCTAATATTTGTTCTTATGGAACAATTTTTTGTAGCGTTTTTTCCAACTTTTTGTGGCAACTCTGTCGCCACAAAATATGTTCTTTTAGCGGCGACTTCAAATGTCGCCACAAATAACCTTCAGTTACGGTTGTGCTTGTGAAAATACAAAAGTTGCCACTGATACCTTTTAGCAGCGACTATTAGGAATTTTGTAGCTATTTTAGTCGCTGCAATAAGGTTGATTTCTTGTAGTGAGTGGAAAAAAGAGCTGAAGAAATGAAGATATCTCTTGCCCCAATATTAGTTTGAATCCAACAATGTTTAATTGTAAAGATGTATAGCTATTCACAATTTTATTCTTTGTATAGGGATCTTATGTTTGCAAATATTTTATTTATGTTTAAATTGTCTATGGTGAATGACATTTGTAGGTACTATTTGAACTTTGATGGTTATACTTTCCTGTTAATAAAATAAAATTTAGTTTCTACATTATAGGATGTGTTACATAAGCATCAATGAGTATTTTAATTTTGACATTAATGGATGTGCTACAGAAGTATCACTAGTCACTCAAATTTCCCGACACTTCTAAATGGCATAAACTGAATAAGCTACAAACTATTTATTTACCGACAGTATATTAAATGTCAGAAGATTTAATGTGACATTTCAAAAAGAGTCGTGAAATAAATGTTAGTAAATTATTTACTGACATTAATATAAATGTCAGAAATTTCCCGACATTGAAATTTACGACATTTGACCTAAGTGTAAAATAAATGTCGGTAAGTAATTTTACGATATTTATGACACTTAATACGATATTTATTAAATGTCATTGTAGCCCTTATTTCTTGTAGTGCCTTCAGGTGGAGATGGAACTGGTGGATGCATGAATGGCCATGGAAACTTCCATGGATGGCCATGAGCAGGCATTGGTGGATGAGGGAATGGCCATGCATGATGAAAATCACCGGCACGCATCGGAGGATGAACGAATGGCCATGGATGTGGATGATGAAACTATGGATGTGGATGAAACTATGGATGAAACCAATCTAATTTTTTATCGTGTGAGGATATATCAGACTTTTGCGTAGTAGCCACGTTCTCAGTTGCAAAACATAGGTTGAGAACTAGGAAAATGCAAATGAGAAAAGTGAGACTTTTCTTAGCAATGTTTAATAACTAAGAAATTTAGGGCTTGCACTAGCTCTAAGATGAAATATGAGAGTAGACATGGCGGGGAATTTATAGGGTTTTCAAGCAAGTCGTTCATATGGATTAGGAGAGTGTTTAAGTGTGATGACCCGATAGGTCATCTAGAGTTTTAACCCTTAATTATGTGTTTCGAAACCTCAAATAATTCCATTTAGCCTTCCTCGATTTGCATGATTAAAATGTGAATTCGTGCTTTAAAACTTCATTTGAGTTGGCGTCGATCAACGTTTTGAGCAAACGGACCCGGATCCGTATTTTGACGATTCTGATGGGTCCGTATCATGATTTGAAACTTGGACGTATGCCCGAAATCGAATTCGGAGGTCCCTAACTTGAGTTATCATAATTTGTTGAAAATCTGAAGTTTAAAGGTTTAAAGAATTTATAAATTTGATCGAAATTTGACTTTATTGCTACCGGGTCTGGCTTTTGATTCCGAAACTTGGTGTAGGTTCATTACTGTAATTATGGTGCAAAACGGAGTTGATTTGACGTGATTCGGAAGTCCAGTTGTTAAAATAAAAGTTCTTAAGTTTTATTGAGAATTTCATTCGTTTTGGTGTCCGATTCATAGTTCTAGGTGTTATTTTGGTGTTTTGATCACGCGAGCGAGTTCATATGATGGTTTTGGACTTGTGTGCATGTTTGGTTTGGAGCCCCTAGGGCTCGGGTGAGTTTCAGATAGGCTCCAGAGTAATTTTAGACTTAAAATAGCTGGTGAAAAATCTGTTCTGGTGCAGGTCTCTGACCTCACAATTGCAAGGTCAGTGTTCGAATTTGCGAAAAACCAAATTGCTGTCCTGTTCGCAATTGCGAAAAAAATCTTCGCATTTGCGAAGAGGGGTTGGGTCAGCTGAGGTCGCATTTGCGATCAAAAGGGTCGCATTTGCGAAGGACCATCGTTCCCATTTGCGAACAAGTCATCGCAAATGCGATGATAGCAGAGATGGAGCTTCTTCGCATTTACAAAGTATGTCTCGCATTTGCGGGGTTCACAATTGCGAACCCCAGGTCGCAATTACGACATTTGCACCTGGTCAAAAGCTGAGATAGACGGGATTTTAGCTCATTCTCTCAAATTCTCAAGAGCATTTCTTCCTCAATTCATTGGTAAGTGACTCTAACCTACTTTCTTTCAATTACCCACTACATTTCATAAGATTTCAACCTTAAATTTAGGACTTCCATGGTAGAAATTGGGGATTTAGGTAGAATTAATGATTTTTGTAAAATTGGATTTTAGATCTCGAATTGAGGTCGGATTTTGAAACAAATTGCCTAACCGAACTCGGGGATGAATGAGTGATCGGGTTTTGGTTCGAATCTTGGGTTTTGACCAAGCGGGCCCGGGGATTGACTTTTGTTGACTTTTTCAATAATGATCTAAATTGAACCTCTTTCATTCGTGAGTAGTTTCTAAAGTTTAATTTGAATTGTTTGGTTAATAATTTGCTAGATTTGGTTGGTTCAGAGGCTTGTTCGAAAGGCAAGACCGTGATTGAATTTTGAGTTGATTGCGGAGTGAGGTAAGTGTCGGGTTTAACCTTGATTTGAGGGAATTAGGAACCCTTGAGTTATGTGCTATGTGAAATTCATGTGTTGCGGCGTATATGCGAGGTGACGAGTGTATATACGTCGCCAAAATACTTGTTTCCCTGTTTGTCCAGTATTTCATGAATTATTTCATTACATGCCTTAACTGTTACATGTTTTAATTGCTTCCCATGACTTATTTGCTACTTGTTACTTATAATTCTCATGTTAAGAATGTTAGATTTTTCCGTGCTTCCATAATTTACTGCTACTACTTGAAATGACTTATTTGTACCCTTAGTTATCATTTATTTGAACTGTTTTGCTGTTTAGTATTCAATATGGTAGATTTTTAATTTGAGACGAGATTCCCTTACTGTTTCCGCTTTATATCCATTAATCATAAAGGACTCTTGTGATTTAAATTGTTAAATTAGATGCACTTAATGATTTATTCATACTGTACGGTGGGATCGGGTTGCGCGCCGTAACAGGTGAAAAAAAGGTGGATTGATATGGTGAAATAAGGGTGAATTTATATTGATACGGTGGGATCATGTTGCCCGCCGCAACTTGTGAAATAAGGGTGGATTGATATGGTGAAATAAGGGTGAATTATGATATTGATTCTGATTATATGGTGGGATCGGGTTGCGCGCCACAATATATATTTATTTATTATTACTGTTGATATTTATATGGTAGAATAAGGAAGAATTTTGTTGTACGGTGGGATCGGGTTGCGCGCCGCAACAGTTTATATGTTCCATTTCTTATTGTGTTGTGTTGGCTTCGGTACTTTCATATGAGACTCTAAGGATTAGTAATATCTGGCATTCACTAGATTTCGTAGAGGATTGAGTTATTTTCTTAAGTTAACTGTCTTATTTCGTTTCTGTATTTTCCTTTTCTGCCATTATTTTATACTGCGTACATGTTATATTGTGAGTAACCCGCCTTTGCCTCGTCACTACTTCGTCGAGGTTAGACTCAGCACTTACAGAGTACATGGGGTCAGTTGTACTCATACTACACTATGCACTTCTTGTACAGAGTCGGTCCTAGTAGCGGTCAGTAGCGTGCTCGGGTTGACTATCATCGGGGAGACTTGAGGTACAACTGCTCGACGTTCGCAGCTCTGAAGTCCCCTTCCACTATATCTTAGTTGTGGATTTTCCTTTCAGACAACTTTACTTTTATTTAGACCTTTATCTGCGGTATTCTAGTAGCTCGTGCACTTGTGATACCAGATTCAGGCTGTAGTAGAGATTTCAGTTGTTATGTTTTCGCTCCTTACTTCATAATTCATTTCAATTATTTCGGTTTCTTATTTATTATTTAAGTTGAACTGTTAAAAATGGATAATTATTTTAACGTTGGTTTGCCTAACAAATGAAATGTTAGGCACCATCACGGTCCCGAGGATGGGATTTTCGGATCGTGACATTAAGTTTATCAGATAGTTAATTCTTTATTTATTTATGTCAATCATTAGTGAAGTTTTTGTACAAATAGTATTCTAATTCTTAAAATGGATGTTTTGAAGAAAACACTGATTGGATCATTAGAGTATTGTTTGCACAGAATATCTTTAGTACTACAATATCTCATGAACTCCTGTCGTGCGTTCATCACAGTAACAAATCTTCATCCACGTACA